TTGAAAAAAATTCATCAAAGCATTTTCATGTTATTGAACGGACACTGTTTGGCAGCCGCCAGCCCGCCGTACATGACCAAATCAATAACCGATATTTCTTCGAAAATCCAGTTTAAAATGAAAAAAAAAATGATGAAATTCGTCATTTAAGGGCTGACTCCTGTACGAAGTCATCTGACATATTTGATGTAAATGGACAGAAGGTAGATCTGATCATTCTGACCATTTCTGCCCAGTAAGATTTACTCTATCTATAGCAGTTTTCAAGATAAAAGACAATAAAAGAGTGTGTCCATGGGACACAGATGCCCCCGTTTGTAAATATGCAAGAGTCAATGTACTTATTCAAACTTAATGACATTTTGTTTTCTTTGAAACTAAATGTGGAAACTGCAAATTCAGCAATTTTTCCATTTATTAAGGGACATAACTCAAGACGGGTGAAAGTGATGTCACCCAATTAAAACTGGATCTGTGTTTGGTGGGAATAGGCATTGTGTATAAGTTTCATTTGGTTGAAGGATAGTAAAGTTATAGTAAGTCAACGGCAAAATATAAGTATGCACATCACATTATAATTGTTTTTGAGTTATGACCTCTTACTCATGCATTATTTGTGCTGTAGCGTCAGTTTTGATCTAATTTTTCCATAATTTATAACAGTTGTTAGCACAATTTACTTTGGCCGCAATCCATGATCCAGAAAATTTTTGTTTGTAGGGATTCAATATTAACCTTGGCACATTTTCTAGTAACAGAATATTTGGGATGGTGGGTTGCGGCCACAGTTTTTCTAAATCTTTTATGTCAGAAAAACGACAAAATCATTAAATTTGGACAATATATCTAAAATGTGCTGATTTTGGAGTCTTTTATGTACTATCATGAAGAGATTTGTTTTACCTAGCACTAAGGCTTTTGGAATAGATTCATTTCAGAACTAGATTGTGGCATTTTTGATATTTTTTGATAAAGTTGAAGTTCAAGGCCATATTTTTCCAAATGTGAACCTTGTCCTTTTGTCTCGTTTGAAAAACAACATTTCATTAAAAGCAACATGCTCAGTACATTGTTGCAATTGAAAATCTTACATTAATAGAACAAAAAAATGATAAATGTGTAAAAAGTTGAACATATTTTGGGAATGTGTTAATGAAAACCTTTATTTTAAACCATACAAAAGCCACTCATAATAAAAGTATACTAGCATTGATTCAGCAATTTCAAGTGCAAATGTGGATAATTGAACAGTTTCAACAGTTTCTATAAAACATAAAAAAAACTTTGTCTATCTAAGTCACATGTTATATAAAACTGTTCCTTCTAAGTCCAAAAAAACAGTTTTATTTTTTTAATCCAAAGATGGAAATGTTTAATAATGTTAAATATTTTGTATTAAACTCATTCAATAAAAAAATTGGTAACTTTGATATTTCTATAGCAGCTTTGTTTTGTCAACATTTCTTTCAAAATACACATATCATGTGGAATAAAATGCTTCGCTGGGGCGCAGCTTGATACGACCGCAGAGGTCAAACCCTGAACAGTTGGGGCAAGTATGGACACAACATTCAAGCTTGATACAGCTCTGAATTTGGATTGTTATTAAAAATTTGACACAGCATAGGTTTCTGACACAGAAAGAATGTGGTCCAAGAACTTGAATTTTTTTAATTTACCTATTATGGTCCAATGTCCAAAATCAAAATACATGGTTAGATTCAGCATATCAAAGAACCCCATATATTCAATTTTTGTTGAAATCAAACAAAGTTTAATTTTGGACCCCAACTTGGACAAACTTGAAAACTGGGCCCATAATCAAAAATCTAAACACATGTTTAGATGCAGCATATCAAAGAACCCCAAGAATTCAATTTTTGCTATAATCAAACTAAGTTTAATTTTGGACCCTTTGGACCTAAATGTAGACCAATTTAAAAAACGGGACTTAAAATTAAAAATCTAAATACATGGTTAGATTTGGAATATCAAAGAACCCCAATAATTCAATTTTTGATGAAATCAAACAAAGTTTAATTTTGGACCCTTTTGACCTCAATATGAACCAATTTGATAGCGGGGCCCACAAATAAAAAATCTAAATTCATGGTTAGATTCAGCATATCAAAGAACCCCATATATTCAATTTTTGTTGAAATCAAAAAAAGTTTAATTTTGGACCCCAACTTGGACCAACTTGAAAACTGGGCCCATAATCAAAAATCTAAACACATGTTTAGATTCAGCATATCAAAGAACCCCAAGAATTCATTTTTTGCTAAAATCAAACTAAGTTTAATTTTGGACCCTTTGGACCTCAATGAAGACCAATTTAAAAAACGGGACTTAAAATTAAAATCTAAATACACGGTTAGATTTGGCATATCAAAGAACCCCAATAATTCAATTTTTGATGAAATCAAACAAAGTTTAATTTTGGACCCTTTTGACCTCAATATGAACCAATTTGATAGCAGGGCCTACAAATAAAAAATCTAAATACATGGTTAGATTCAGCATATCAAAGAACCTCATATATTCAATTTTTGTTGAAATCAAACAAAGTTTAATTTTGGACCCCAATTTGGACCAACTTGAAAACTGGGCCCATAATCAAAAATCTAAATACATGTTTAGATTCAGCATATCAAAGAACCCCATATATTCAATTTTTGTTGAAATCAAACAAAGTTTAAATACTGGACCCTATCTTGGACCAACTTAAAAACTGGGCCCATAATCAAAAATCTAAACACATGTTTAGATTCAGCATATCAAAGAACCCCAAGAATTCAATTTTTGTTAAAATCAAACTAAGTTTAATTTTGGACCTTTGGACCTTAATGTAGACCAATTTAAAAAACAGGACCCAAAATTAAAAATCTAAATACACGGTTAGATTTGGAATATCAAAGAGCCCCACTAATTCAATTTTAGATGAAATCAAACAAAGTTTAATTTTGGACCCTTTTGACCTCAATATGAACCAATTTGATAACGGGGTCCACAAATAAAAAATCTAAATACATGGTTAGATTCAGCATATCAAAGAACCCCATATATTCAATTTTTGTTGAAATCAAACAAAGTTTAATTTTGGACCCCAATTTGGACCAACTTGAAAACTGGGCCAAAAAATCAAAAATCTAAATACATGTTTAGATTCAGCATATCAAAGAACCTCATATATTCAATTTTTGCTAAAATCAAACAAAGTTTAATTTTGGACCCTTTGGACCTTAATGTAGACTATTTTGAAAACTGGACCCAAAATTAAAAATCTAAATACACTGTTAGATTCGGCATAACAAATAAATAAATGTGATCGAAGATTTTACAAATCTAATGCGCCATACTGTGCAATTAAAGATTACTTCTTGAAATTTTTCAATATTTGAAATTTGAAAAAAAAATAATATTTGAAGAATAATTCTTTTTAAATTCTGAAATCTGAAATGACAAAAAATTGACCCCCCACAATTTCTTTTTATCCCCCCCCCCCCCTTTTTTCCCCCAAAAAATTCTTTCCCTCAAGATATGGTCATAATCTCAATTCAAATTTCCAATGGAGTTGGAAACCATAATTACCCATTTAAATTTACCATAGTGCTAACTTAATCTATTTTATAATAGAATTAAAAATATAGTGTCAAATCTTTCATATGGATTTTTTTGTAAAATAAAATGATGCAACATTTGCAGATATTTTTACTGGTCTTCCTTTATAAATATGCATTTCTTTAAACATAATTTAAAAGCAGTGTAAGGGAAGTAACCAAAACGTTGTATTTGGATTACCTCCCTTACACTGTTTTAAATTATCTTTATTGTTCATTAACCATTACTTTATACATAATTTAAAAGCAGTGTAAGGGAGATAATTTCAATGATGTATTTGATTTATCTCCCTTACACTGCTTTAAATTATGTTTTGTACTAAAGTATTTGTCCATTAACCAGGACAACCTTGTTTTTCCCCCTTTTTTGCCCCTAATTCCTAAACGGTTTGAGCCATAACCCCCCAAAGCAAATCCTAACCATCCCTTTGTGGTATGGAAACTTGTAGTATAATTTCAGAGAGATCCATACACCGTTCCACAGTTATTGTCTGGAAACTAGAAAATGCTTATTTTTGGCCCCTTTTTGGCCCCTTATTCCTTAACTGTTGGTACCATAACCCCCAAAATCAATCCCAACCTTCCTTTTGTGGTATTTAACCTTATGGTAAAATTTCAAAAAGATCCATTCACTTAAACTAAAGTTAGAGTGCGAAAACCAATGTGTCTTCGGACGACGACGCAAGACGACGACGACGACGACACCAGCGTCATACCAATATACGACCACAAAATTTTTTTGTGGTCGTATAAAAAGTTAATATGCCTAGCTCATAATGCTTTTTAATTCATTCATGTAGATGTGATTGGTCAGTTTTTTTATAATAATTATGGTGTTTACTTTTTCAGGCAAACAATAAGTATTCAAATGGTCTTGATGTGTTTTATAACCTTTGAAACAATATTCAAAACATATCAATAAGACTTTTTTTAATAGCAGTCATTCCTCTCTTTCTAATACCCACAACATTTTTTTTTATTGAGATGACATTTTTCATTAGTTGCCAAGTTTAAATGGCATGAATTTATAATGAAACTAGAAAAAAATGTTCAATCCATTCATAATTGGTGTTCTGAAATGTCAAAGCTTCTTGCATAAGCATAGTACCCGTAATAAATAAAAACTCTTTCTCAATGTTATAGCCACAAAGACCTCCCCAGTCAAATGAAAGTAATCAAGTAATACAGGTTGTTTTTTATAATATAAAGAATGACAACATACATATGCTTTATCCTGAGAAGAAATATTAAAGTTGGGCTGCTGTAGAGCACCATTTGTGTTTACAGCTGGTGTACATCTTCTGGTACGCGATTTTGCATTTTCCAATTCTGCATCGCTGGGGTTAATGGAATTTTTATCTGTAAAAGAAATTTCATACGTTGATACACAAAAAGCATAACACTATTTTACTGATGAGACAGGAGGTTCTTAAAACTGTTTCAAACAATGATCAAACTTATGTATGTGTCTACTTATCTTATGTATGTGTCTACTTATCTTATGCATGTGTCTACTTACCTTATGTATGTGTCTACTTACCTTATGTATGTGTCTACTTATCTTATGTATGTGTCTACTTATCTTATGTATGTGTCTACTTATCTTATGTATGTGTCTTAATCTTATGTATGTGTCTACTTACCTTATGTATGTGTCTACTTATCTTATGTATGTGTCTTTATCTTATGTATGTGTCTTAATCTTATGTATGTGTCTACTTATCTTATGTATGTGTACTTATCTTATGTATGTGTCTACTTATCTTATGTATGTGTCTACTTATCTTATGTATGTGTCTTAATCTTATGTTTGTGTCTACTTATCTTATGTATGTGTCTACTAACCTTATGTATGTGTCTACTTACCTTATGTATGTGTCTACTTACCTTATGTATGTGTCTACTTACCTTATGTATGTGTCTACTTATCTTATGTATGTGTCTACTTATCTTATGTATGTTTCTACTTATCTTATGCATGTGTCTACTTATCATGCATCTGGGTTATTTTTTTCCTATAATATGAAGAATTGTTTTAGAAAATATAAGGTGTGGAAAAAAATTGCTCAGATGGAATTTAGGTAAATCTTAAAGGTAAAGTCACTAGACTAAGTCTCATGGGCAATCATACCACATCTCCATATTTTTATATAGCTGTTTCACCTGAACTGTAGGTAAAAATCCAGTATGAGCAAAGTAAGCACAAGAAAATAAACCAATCCATAAGTTTAGGCACAAGCTTTATGTACAAAATAATAATAAAAATAATATTGCCCAACATTATGTCCAATGAACTTTTTGAATTTTGTTTTAAACATAGCTTGCTGTTGCATTCATCCATCTCGTTATAGTGTGATATGGATGGACTTTGATAATTCACTGTTTGTAATCTTCATAAACTTGAGTATAGGTCATAGGTTAGTACATTCTTACATTGCTGTTACAGAAACCAGTAGTTTTAAAAATATCAAGTATCAGTACCAATGTGATCAATAAATTTCCTAGAATTATTGCTCTGTTGGGACTTATTTACAAGGATTAATCATCTCTCAACTTGTAGATTTTATATTAACAATATAATCAACTGAATTCATTAAAATCCACAGAAATATCCCACAAATTCTAGGCACATTCTTTGTACCTGATTTTGGATGATGTAAAAAAAAAAAACCAGTCAATAGGTAATTGCCTGTTCTAATTCCTTAATAATGTCTTCTCTATCTTCTTTTAATTATCCTTAGATGTCCTGAGAGCAAGTACTTATGGTACATTTTAAATAAGGATCTCTGGTTTTAAAAGTAAATACTATTCATAATAAGAGTGACCTCAGATTTATTGGAAAATGTTTCCCCAGAAATAAAAGCCTCTGTGTAATACTGGTGTTATCTTTGACATGGTTTTCTGTTGAAGCCTTCCTGAGAGTTTTCCATAATTTTACCAAATTGTAATGTAAATACACAGATTCTCACACGCATGACATGATAGTTGAACTTATATTGACAATTAATTTTCTTCATTCAAATAAATATAGTGGGTCCATAATGACCACACTTTAAATATGTGTGAAAGACATGCCAACAATTCATTCAATATTGGGAATTTTGAATCAAACTAGATCATCAATTTTTTAATTGAAATTGAAATTTTAATTGTTGATGAATTCTATCAGTCCTTTGATCTATAAAATTTACTTTAAATGTAGGAAACAAATATATATGGTACACAGAAGTCCAGATCTATATTAGGTTAAGACAGCAACCTGAACGACACAAAAACCAAAGGACATGTATTTCAACAATGTTTAGAAATCCATTTAGAAATCCTTATATTAAATGCTTAAAAATGTGCATGCTTAGTCATGATAGTGTGCAACTACTTTAAAAACTGAACACAAGATAAGTTCAGCAAGTTAAAATCATTATTTCAATGAGGAAATGTACTTGATAAATCTTCAGTTGATAGGTCATCTATACATAGTAATAATTACATCTGAAAATTTCAAACTGCTGTGGTTATAGTAACTATGTAAAACTATTTTCAACATAGTATTTATTTAATGTGGAACAGTACACATAAAAAATTTCAGTTGAAATACTTCTTGCTGGTGTTCAAATGATTCAACATGACAAAGAGTGATTGTAGTATCTAGTGATCTAGTATCAAAATTATTTTTTTCTAACTGCATTTTCCAATTACTTAACACTGATCATGTTTACATACAAAGATTCAAGAAAGATCATTTTTATTAAGATTACAAAAGAATTGACATTTAAGCATAGCAACAAATGCCAACCCCCCTCTCTTTATTATTTTTTTTTGCATAGTGTTCTGTCAAAAGTATGAACTGGGCTCTTTATTATCATGTTGCCCTCACACCTGCTTCAGAAAAAATAAATTTAAAACATAGCTTGATTAAGCCAAGAAGCTTGAAAATAGGTGTCAAGAAGAAAGTGTTTTTTCTAGAAATTTCATAAGAATAATCAATCTATGATCTATGATAACTATTAATTATGTTAACCATTTCAAAGTGAGGGTAAAACTCGTTGACTCTACCAGTACATCAGAATAATGTGTCTGGGTAATTATATAATGATATGTCTTCTAGGGGTGTAAATCTAATGTTCTATTAAGTTACTATCTAGCTATAAGCAAAGACCAGTGTGTCCAGTCTAGTACAAAGCAAATTGAATTCATATCACTCAAATTATGGGAAAATGATGATAAACAACCATTAGACAATCAAAAGTTAATAGTGAAATTTTTTAGCATTTATTGAAATGATTGATAATTTTCTATTCTAATATGTAATTTGTTGCTTACAGTGATTTTGACAGGATAATATCATATAATTTGAGGGGTTAAATCCATGATTTACTTGTAGTACTGTCAAACTAATCTCAGATGTTTTTTTTTTTTCTTTTTATTTAAAAATTCATTCAACAGGCATAACTTAGCAATTGTTTTAGAATAGTAAACATGTAAATGTAATGTGTTTTAAATGCTTGCTGACACCAATTTCCATCAAAACTTTGCTGAAAACTAAATTTGTGTCAGTAAAATCAACAATTGATGATGGCAAGTATACTTAAATACAATGATGTTTATATATATAAGTTTTATTCTGCAGAAATTTGCAATAAATGTGTATTATGTGTTTAAAAGACTACCTTTGTCTATCCCATTAGTTTTACTGTGTTTTTCCTGTTCATCATGAGAGTGAAACTTGCTCCGACCACATCCCATTCTTTAGACATAGCCGAAGTTTGGTGATCACTTTCTTCTTATATAATAGAGGTCTTATTTTCACACACCAAATTGTAAAACAGTAAAATCAAGTAGGTTCATTATAACTTCACAATATCCAAAACATAGAAAATGTTGAAAGAATTCTGGTTAAATAAACTATGGAGTCTTCACCTGTTCAAAAAAAAAAATGACAACATGTTATTGTATAACAAAGTGTTAATTTGTAAGAATATGTATCTATTGTTTGGTAAATCCACCTGGATTAAAGTGACAAACAACAAAGAAAGTGCTACCTTGAACTTAGAATATAGCAAAGTGCTAACTCTCGCTCATACTTAATCATGAAGAAAGGGATTATCATTCTCTTACATATACCTAAACATAGATTTTTCCTGTTTCCTCAAGCTGTATATTACCTTTTTAACAATTCTTTGTACATTGTACAATTTTTAGCAGAAAGGAGAGTTGAAAAGTGTTAACTTGTTCAATCAATTGTTGTAAATCAATTAAAACAATTTCTAAGAATACCATACAGTGGGAATAGCTGTTAATAAGATGAAAGAGAAAAAAAATAAATTGATCACCTCTACTGCATTTTGAGTGTTATTTTTTTTCTTTTTTGGATAATTGACCAGGACATTGTTAGGTATGTGTTTATTCCATCTGATACTTAAATTCATATACAAATCTTTGTGTTACCATACCATCAAGTCAAACCAAATATTAATGAAATTAAGTCTTAAGAAGAAGGAATGACTAAGAAATTTTGTGGAACCAATTTCTTTTCTGACAACAATTCTATTCAAAATTAGACCTATCTGAATTTTCTCAACTTATACAGGCAGTAACTAATTTCCTTGCTACTGGTCAGGTCAGTGTGAATTTGAATTTGACCAAGAGCTGCTTGTTTGGTATTGAAATTAATATTCCTCCAACAAAATCACTTGCTCAGACAGAATGACTTTACCCTACATTTAGTTCTACCTCAGTCATTTTGGTTTCAATTTAAAACAGCTCTTCATTACATAATAAGCTTTTAACACAGATATGTGTCTAGCCTATTGTAACCTAATTACAAGTTTTAACAATTGTTGATGACACCAAAACAGGAAATAGTTACAAAAATATGTTATTCCTGAGAATAGATTTTATATGAATTACACACATGCATAAAAGGAGAGAAGAGGTATATCAATTAGAAAGCACGATAATGACACAAATAACAAGACAAGAATGTGTCCATAGTACACGGATGCCCCACTTGCATTATCATTTTCTATGTTCAGTGGACCGTGAAATTGGGGTCAAAACTCTAATTTGGCATTAAAATTAGAAAGATCATATCATAGGGAACATGTGTACTAAGTTTCAAGTTTATTGGACTTCAACTTCATCAAAACTACCTTGACCAAAAACTTTAACCTGAAGTGGGACAGACGGACGGACGAGTCGAACGAACGGACGCACAGACCAGAAAACATAATGTCCCTACTACATCGTAGGTGGGGCATAAAAACATCTACAGTAGGTATGTGAATAAGAACTTTCAACCTAAAAACTTAATTTGAACAACAGTGAACAAAATCCATTTTCTTGATGTACAGGACAGCATGGTAACATTAATTGCATTGATGCCTTATAAAACTTTAAAGCTGTTTGTCAATTTAATTTATTGACATAATTTGGTAATTTGCTGAATTTATATATACATCATGTACATTCAGTAAATAACAAAATTATATATATATGCAAAAAAGAGAATTTTTATATATTTATATATACAAATTATAAAATGATTGCAAACATGTTAAAAGTCCTATGGTAAAAGTGTGTAGATGATCTTTTTCAACCTTTGAAGGATTTCATCCATTCTTATTTCCATATTACTTCCAAAATAGATTAATGTTCAAATAGATGTTGCAAGATTATAAATTTTTCAACATATTCTTTCCGAGGTACTTTTTTTTTTATTCATTTTAGCTTTTTCAATCCCATATCCATTAATGTTTTCAAATTCAACTATGCATATACATTATGTTTGTCATTTAATGATGCACAGTTTAAATCAAAGGATATCGTAACAAGTCCACCATAAAAAGTGAAAAAAAATGCTGAATATTTTGAAATTGAATAATAATTATTACCAATGATTTAACTTTTATATGTACTTACCTGCATAGACTTCAATAGCTCTTCCCCAGAGTAATTTAAATTCTTACCTTATTTCCTTCACCTAGGCCCGACTATATAAACCTGTCAAAATAAAATGTTAAGTAATTAAATGTAAACTTGAATGTTTTGTGAACAGCAGAGTGTAGCAGGGGTAACAACTAAATATTTACCCTTAACAAGGATATGTTCACTTTTATATATAATACTAGATCAACTTTACTTTAAACTTTAAATGTAGAAAAACAACCAAAAATATTTTTTTCCCCAATCTTGAATCTACAATTTGAACACTAAGTCTTAAGTCATTTCTTTTATCTATATTTTCTGAATTTCTATGAAATTTCAGATGTAGAAAATCATCACATTGCATCTTAGCTTCTTTTATTTTATTTTCTCATTGGTTAACACAAATCTTTTTCCCACAAGAAACATAATATCTTAAGCAAACTTTGAAATAAGGGACAGTGGTACCTATTGTTCTCAGGGTATTGCTCTAACAATAAAATAGTGTTACTTTAATAAATTTTCTATTATACAACGGCAGCCTTACTACAACTGTCTTTTCCTATTTACTTTTCATTCATAGAGACGAGTGGTATAATCATAAAACAAAATACATTTAAAAGGTCGAATTCAAGAACGTTGGTGTATTAAGTATTAAAACTGCACTTGTTTGTACTTTAAATAGCATAAAAATTTAAAATACTAGAGTGTGAAACAACAAATTGCTTGAATTAAATTATTTTAAATTACAATAAATAACCCTTGCCTACCCATTCCATTTAAAGTGAATACCCTGTCAAACTGATGTTTTTTCTATATTGTGGGTTTTGTGTTTTTGGATTGCTGTCTCATTCAATAATTACTCACATGCCTTTTTATTTATATTTTTTTTAATATAAATAAGTACCAACTGTAGTTGTATGAACTAATAATTACATTACATGTATGTTTCCTTATAATAGGTTATTTTGATTGGCTAACAGCAATCTCACGTCATTCTGAAATTAACTTTCATTTAAAAAAAAACAACATTCATGATGAAACGACCTTCCACAATAAAGTGCACAGGTAAATAAAAGAAAAACTTGATAGAAATCGTGTATTCATGATCCTAGCAAAAAGATGTAATTATAAGTATTGAATGCTTCTTTTAGTAATTCTATAGGGTTGTAAAAGCATTGACTGTGCGCACATTTTTAGAATGAAGCGCTTCCACGCTTCATACAAAATGTATTCGGTCAACCCTTTTACACCCCAATAAATTTACTACTTTAAATGAAATATTTACATATTTACATACTTACTTACTTACTTACATAGTAATGTCAAAATATTTCTTAATGGAAAACATGTATTTTTTTCTGGTCTAATCAAGGTCAAGAAATATCTTTTTCAACAAGGGGAGATAAAAACCAAATGAAGTTGATGGAGTAATATGTAAGTCTACATGTGAAAATTTTGCATTCAAAGGAGCAATAAAAGCATTTCTAGATCAAAATAGTTTAGCCGAGCAATAAGAATAATTCATGAATTTTTAATTTTAAACACTGAAGGCCTGACATATTAACAACTTTTCACTAGTTTAATGTCTTGTACTCCCCATTATTAAAGTTATATATAAACTTCCGTGGACTAAATTCTTCTTTAGCTATCCATGTCACTATGACATAGGTCTAAATATTGTGGGTCACAGCATCAATACATATATAATATAATTGTTCATTTTTTATGTGTTTTTAAACATTCATACACTTTCATGGTGGCCATAATTTGTGTTTTTTGAAGTGACTGGAGGACTCGGAGCAAACCATCAATTTTTCAGCAAATAACTGACTCTCTCTATAATGTAAGCCAGGATATACCTCATTATTTTGAACCTTAGTAATCCTAAGTAATGGACTGCTTGTTTTAGATAAAAATAAGAATATGGGTCCAAAGGACACATTGCCTCACTCAGTCTATCAAATTTCCATGTTGTGTGAACCATGGAATCGGGTTCAAAACTGTAATTTCACATTAAATTTTAAAATTTCACTTCATTATGAACATGTGCCTACTACTAAGTTTCAAACTGATGTAAATCACAACTTCATTGTAAACTACCTAAACAAAAAAATGAAAGCGAAAAGACAGAAAATCATTTTGATTAAAATGAAACAAGAAATGGAAGCAGTATTATTTGATAAGATTTGAATTACATCAAGAAATGGGGTCCATGAGACACAGATGAGGCCCCCGATTGCATATAACATTATGAAGGGACATAACTTAAGAACGGTAAAAGTGACGCTATCCAAATTCTCACTTGATCTGAGTTTTGTGGTAATTAGCATTGTGTATAAGTTGCATAACATTTGGTTGAGGCAAACTTAAGTTAGAGAAAGAAAATGAAAAATTCAGCAATTTTTCAATTTGTAAAGGGGCATAACTCTAGAACAGTAAAACTGACGCCACCAAAAATCGTACTTGATCTGTGTTTTGTGGTAATAAGCATTGTGTATAAGATTCATAACATTTGGTTGAGGCAAACTTAAGTTAGAGAATGGAAATGAAAAATTCAGCAATTTTTCCATTTGTAAAGGGGCATAACTCTAGAAAGGTAAAAGTGACGCCACCTTAATTCCATCTTGATCTGTGTTTTGTGGTAATACTCATTGTATATAAGTTTCATAATATTTGGTTGAGGCAAACTAACGGAAACCAATTTCGGGACGTATGGACGTACAGAAAGGGTAAAACTTAATGCCCCCTCCACTACAGCGGGGGCATAAAAAGATGTTTACAAAAGATTTGAAATGACAAAGTCCATTTCTTGTCGCAGAAAACCCCCCAAACCCGAAATTCTCAATCCACTATCAATACCTTGTTACCAGAGATTATAAATACCCCAACCTTTGGTAAGGAAACCAGCATGCAAAAGGTTAACCACCATGCAATGTTTGGCAAGAAAGCCAGTCTGCAAGGGGTTTACCACAATGAAACCTTTAGCAAGGAAATCAGCATGCAAAGGGTTAACCACCATGGAACCTTTGGCAAGGAAACCAGCATGCAAGGGGTTAACCACCATGGAACCTTTGACAAGGAAACCAGAATGCAAGGGGCTAACCACCATGGAACCTTTGACAAGGAAACCAGAATGCAAGGGGTTAACCACCATCGAACCTTTGACAAGGAAACCAGCATGCAAGGGGTTAACCACCATTGAACCTTTGACAAGGAAACCAGCATGCAAGGGGTTAACCACCGTCGAACCTTTGACAAGGAAATCAGCATGCAAGGGGTTAACTACCATGGAACCTTTGACAAGGAAACCAGAATGCAAGGGGTTAACCAACATTAAACCTTGGGTTATCCATCATGCCACCTTTGGCCAGGAAACCAAAATGTAAGGGGTTAAACACCATGCAACATTTAGCAAGGAAACCATTCTCAACCTTGGGGAAATCAAACTAGAATGCATTCCTTTAGCCACTATCCTTTAGGAAGTAAAAACAGAATGCATTCCTTTAACCACTATCCTTTGGGAAGTAAAACTAGAATGCATTCCTTTGAACACTATCCTTTGGCAAGTTAAACAGAATGGATTCCTTAAACCACTATCCTTTGGGAAGTCAAACAAAAAAGATTCCTAACACTATCCTTTGGGAAGTAAAACCAGAATGGATTCCTGTAACCACTATCCTTTGGGAAGTCAAACCAGAATGGATTCCTTTAACCACTATCCTTTGGGAAATCAAACTAGAATGCATTCCTTTAACCACTATCCTTTGGCAAGTAAACAGAATGGATTCCTTAAACCACTATCCTTTGGGAAGTCCAACCAGAATGGATTCCTTTAACCACTATCCTTTGGGAAGTAAAACCAGAATGCATTCCTTTAACCACTATCCTTTTGGAAGTCAATTCAGAATGGATTCCTTTAACCACTACCTTTTGGCAAGTAAAACCAGAATTCATTCCTTTAATTAACCACTATCCTTTGGCAAGTCAAACAAGAATGCATGCCTTTAACCACTAACCTTTGGCAGGTAAAACCAGAATGCATTTCTTCAACCGCTACCCCTTGACAAGAAACCAGAAGAATAAACACCTTTAACGGTTAACCACTATTCTTTGGCAAGTAAAACCAGAATGCATGCCTGTAACCACTTTCCTTAGGCAAGTAAAACCAGAATGCATGCCTTTATCCACTATCCTTTGGCAAGTGAAACCAGAATGCATGCCTTTAACCACTATCCTTTGGCAAGTGAAACCAGAATGCATGCCTTTAACCACTATCCTTTGGCAAGTAAAACCAGAATAAAACCTGAATGAATGCCTTTAACCACTATCCTTTGGCAAGTAAAACCAGAATGCATGCCTTTAACCACTATCCTTTGGCAAGTAAAACCAGAATGCATGCCTTTAACCACTACCTGTATCTTTTAGCAAGTTTATACAGATCAATGAATAAATTCCTTATTAAGTATTTTGCCAGGTCTGGCCCAATTTGATTAAGTCATCCTCGATTAATTAATTGAATGTCTATTGCTAAATTCCAAAGGCAAAAATTTCATGCATATTGAGGACAATGTTGAATGAGGTTCAATTTTACATTTCAATGCATGGTAATTGTCGAGGACAAAGGACACTTTAATATATTTGATAATGATAACTATGTGTTGATCATGCTATAAAGTCGACTGAATAATTCTTACAAAAATGTTTTACACTATTCCTTACAATAAATGTGTTAAAATCTAATAGTTATACCTACTAATTACAATAAAAAAAATCCTTGTCCTTGAAAAACATATCTTGTTTAATATTATCTGATTTAGTTTTATATATCATTGAATTAGGTCAGATTCTAGCCTGTATAGTTCCATTCTCAATTTTATTGTTCATTGGCATTTGAGATCACCTATGCACCTTTGTAATATTTGTGGGAATCCTGCAGACGAAAACAAGCCCATCATATACAGAACCACATAACTCTCCTTAAGAGAGACCTTCAGACGAAAACAAGCCTATCATATATAGAACTACATAACTCTCCTTAAGAGAGACCTGCAGACAAAAACAAGCCCATCATATAC